TCCCTGGAGCATTGGGGACTGAGGGGTGACCTTATAGAGGTTGATAAAATCATAAGGGGCATAGATAAGGAGAAGAGCCAAGGTCTTTGCCCCAGGCTAAGGGAATTCAAAACTAGTCGGCATAGGTTTAAAGGTGAGATGGGAAAGATTTAAATGGAACTTGAGGGGCAACTTTTCACGCAGAGGACGGTGCATATACAGAACGAGCTGCCAGAGGAAGTGGTAAAGGAGAGTACAATTACAATATTTAAAAGGCATCTGGACAGGTATACGGATAGGAAAGGTTTAGAGAGATATGGGCCAAACACAGGTAAATAGAAATAGTTAAGTTTAGGAAACCTGGTTGGCATGGGCAAGTTGGGCTGAAGGGCCTGCTTCCATGTTGTAGGACTGTCTGTTTTTGTTACACTCCCAGTACAGGGAACTGGAACATGCTTAAGCAAGGAGACAAAAACGGGACACTGCTGCCCAAGGTATTCTCATCGATGTTCTATATAATTCAGACAAGACACATTTACTTGTATACTCAAATCCCTTTGAACAAAAGCTAAGATACCTGCTGCTTTGCCACTTGTTTGCTGAACTGGCATGTTAACTTATGGGACTGCCAGGTTCCTCTGAAAGTAAATATTTCATAATCTCACAATTCAAAATATTCTTAGTTTTCACTTTTACTATCAAAATGGATAACTTTACATTGTGTTCCATGTAATTCCCCACGAACCTAACCTGTCTATATTCTTCTGCAGTCTCCTGACTAATTACTTCACAAAGTTAGGTAGAAAAGTAAACAAATTTGAATAGATTACATCTGTTCCCCTCATCTAAATCATTATCTACAATAAAAAAAAGCCATGACCTTAGTAACTTGAAAATCTCATTAATTTTGATTCCATCGATCTTTTGATTTCTGCTATTCATCCACAATCGACAAAATTACCCCAATCACGAGTGCCAAGCTTCCGAAATAAAGTCAGAATAAGCAATTAGTTGGCTTAAATATTGCACAAATTTGGGTTAAACGATAAGTTTCCTGGATTTTATGCCAATGTGAACCCACATTATTCTGATTTTATGCAAAATAAAATTTTATGCAATATAACATTCCTATATTCTCATCTTTAATGGACATTGTGGTTACAATGAAGCAGGGCTACTTTAGTCCACCTGTACCTGTGCAATATCAGCGATGTTTTTTTTTTTTTTTTAAAAAAAAAAAGAGTTGTTCATGGGATATGACCATTACAAGCTATTGCACCTATTCCTCCCACCTATCCCCTCCTCCCACCTCAAGCCCCACCCCCATCTCCTACCTACTAACCTCATCCCGCCCCCTTGGCCTGTCCGTCCTCCGTGGACTGGCCTATCCCCTCCCTAACTCCCCACCTACACTCACCTTTACTGGCTCCATCCCTGCCTCTTTGACCTGTCTGTCTCCTCTCCACCTATCTTCTCCTCTATCCATCTTCTATCCGCCTCCCCCTCTCTCCCTATTTATTTCAGAACCTCCTTCCACTCCCCCATTTCTGAAGGAGGGTCTAGGCCCGAAATGCAAGCTTTCCTGCTCCTCTGATGCTGTTTGGCCTGCTGGGTTCATCCAGCTCGACACCTGGTTATCTCTATTGCACATCCCTAACTGTTCTGGAGAAGGTGATGATACATTCAGTGTTGTTCGTGAGGGAGTTGCAGAATTTAGACAGTTACGGTGAAACAATAGCAATATAGTTCCAAGTCAAATGGTGTGGAATTTGGAGGGACATTTTCAGGTGGTGCTGTTCCTATATACCTAGTGTCCTCATTCTTTTAGGTGGTAGAGCTCATGGGTTTGGAATGTGGTTTTGGAGGACCCTGGTGAGTTCATCTTTAAGGTGATACACACTGCTGCCATACTGTCACTGCACGCCACTGAAGGGGGAAGCGAGCTTTTGTGAATTAGATTAGATTAGATTTAGATTTATTGTTATATGTTTATAAAAAACACTTTTCACTGTATTTTTAAAATGCTAAAGACAAAAAGTATTGCCATGCTCCAGCACCATCTTGAAATACTGAATATAATGCAAGATTTTATTGCAACCGAGTTCTCATATCTCCTCCTCCCCCTTCAACGCTTCTCCAGATGCCACGGCCCATCATCAGCCGCTGGGGTGCTGGCTCAAGGCTCCTCCACTCCCAACTCTAAAGCTACTGCGGCCTCAGTATGAGAGCCAGAGCTGCAGCCAGCCATGGTTCTGGGGCAGCGCAGAGCCCAGCCCCAACCAACTGCCCTGCAGAGAAAACGGCCACAAAAAGACAAAGCCACCATGGCACCAAACCACAAAGATGTGCGAGGGGGTGTGGATGCAGCCAGCTCCAGCATTGTACCCACGAGCAGCCGAGCTGTGGGATCAGAAGCCGAACACTACCGTCATCACCGCTGCCACCCTGATATTATGTGGTGCCAATCAAGTGATTTTGTCCTGGATGGTGTCAAACTTCTGGAGTGTTGCGAGAACTGCACACATCCTGACTTGGGCCTTATACTAGCGGACAAGCTTCAGAAAAATCAGGTGAGTTACTTGCTGCAGTATTCCTAGCCTCTGGCATGTTCTCATAACCACTATATCTACATGGCTCATCCAGTTGTGTTTTCCATCAACAGTAATCCCAGGAAATGGCAGTAGGGGACTCAATTATGGTAAAACTTTTGAATGTCAAAATGCAATGGTTAGTTTGTATCTTGTAGGAGATAATCATTGCTTGGCACTTGAGTAGCATGAATGTTATTTGCTACTTGCTAATCACAAGCCTGGATATGGTCCAGATCCTGTTGCATTTGGACAATGGACTGCTTTAGTAGAGTCTTGAAAGGGGCTGACTATTATGCAAGCAAACATCCCAATCTGTGACCTTATCATGAAAGGAATATCATTGTTGAAGCAGTTGATGGTGATTGTGTTGTATTTGAGGCCCATTTCTTCAGCTTTAAACAAAAAGCCCAAGTATTTGTACACAATTCTGAATATTTTTGATATACTTCTTCATTGTTAAAAATGTATTTTTTTCCTGACGTGGCTGTACAGACACAGGAAAGTTGAAACATCAAATACAAACAAAACTTGTTCAAAAATACTTTTGCCAAATGGACAAACTACATAGCATGAGTTGTTAGGCTTTTAGCATGCAGTAACTTAAGTTTTTTGTTCTTTGAAACTCCTTAATTTTGAATTACATCTAACCCATTCAATGCACTGTGGCTCTAGACCCACTGCCCAGCCTCTTGCTCCCATTAAGAGGCATATCGCACTTACTTGGCCCATCTGAACAGTGAAATAGGCTCAAGGGGCCGAAATGCTCCGAAAGATTGAAAGTACCCTTTCTTCAGTTTGTACAGATTGCTTTTTCACGAAAATGCACGGTTTACCAAACCATTCAACGATCTTAAACCACACTGAATTAAATCCTCTTGACAAGTTGACAACTGCATTATCAGAAAAATATACAGTAATCACATTCCTTTAGAATATAGCATCTCATCTATAGACACTCCCATAGGGGTACATGGAGACTTCACAGGTTGCAATAGCTAACAACTGTTAGCCCACTGAAGTAAAATAGAAAAGAGAAGTCTCAATTTTGGTCCAAAACCACAGTTGAAGAACATACATTAACTGTTGTCAACAGCTCAAGCACATCACTATTAAGAGAACTGATCTACACTACACTATTTAGGGTATCCTCTCAAGAAAGAGGTGACTGCATCCCACAGAATTTTATTTCGCACACAACCATCCCCATTTTATTGCTCACTCCCTCTTTTCCTCCAGGTGGCTGACTTTTGAAAGATGCCAAGATAGTATTCATAGAAATAGCAAAGTCACAGCCAGAAAAGCATGCTGCTGGAGTCAGATTATTCACACAGGGTTCTCCGATTGCAGGCTATGCATGGCAGTGCTGAAAGCTGTGTTTAACAGGTCATACAGACAACACAAAATAGGAACAGAAGCCAGGTCATTTGAACACTCATGCTTGCTCTGCATTTATAAGATCGCAGCCAGTTTGTTTAGATTTCAACTTGGACATTCCCATCTACCCTTGATAACCTTTAAATCTCTTATCTAAGAAGAATCAATCTACCTCTGCCTTAAAAATATTCAATGGCGCAACTTCTAATGCTTTTGAAGAGGAGGATGTCCTTCAAAACACTGGATTTTACGAAGTGTCAATCTGTCTGACTTCAGCTGGTATAATGAGCTGAGTGCTTGGGGAATTCACTGGCAACAGTGAAACATTAAACAGCCATGACCAGCTTTTCACCTAATCAGTGGGATCTTTCTCCACTCAAAAGAATCTGCCACATTTGCTTAAGTGGCAGTAGGCATTCCTTTCCATCACTATAAGAGGTACTTGACTTTCCACTGTTATAATTTGTTTTGCTAAACATTATTCCTCATTCATTACTGAGAATTGCCCATAGTGTACAATTTTTAAAAAAATTCTGTTGCCTTGCATGCACTTTTTTTTTTCCTTTGACCTACCTCCCAAACTAGCCTTCCCTGAACTGCTTCTGCTCTCAGAAGAAATCCCTCAGATAAAGACTGGATTATTTTGTACTCAACGTGACCTTCAGGGTGAAGATAAAGAAGCAAAAGCAAATTATGCTCTGTTTTTTTTTAAGACTCAGGTGAACAGTATCATTTCAGACACTAGCGAAGGCACCAGGAGGAAAAGGAGCAGCAATACTTTGGGAACACAGGCACCCCCAATTCACACAGTTACCTATCCTTGGGACATAGTAACTTTGCTTCATGGACCAAAGCCTGGAATAGCACAATGGAAGCACATTCACAATGTGGACAGCAGTACTTAAGTAGCAGGGTCATTACCACCATCTTCTTGGTGAGAAAAACAATGTCAGTCTGGCTAGTGATGACAGCACTCTGACAGAGTGGGGGGAGGAGGACATAAAACTAATGAATATATAGATTTTTAATAGCAATGGTTAACCATATTAGTTTTACCTAAAAGCACATTCAACAACCAAGTGTAGAAGTACTGGGTTTTTCTCGAATGTTGACAGATGCTCACTGCAGAGCTGGCTGCAGTCCTACGAATGGTTGGTGAACTTGATTTAAGGTTCCCAATAAAGGTCTTCAGTAGCATCTGAAATTTTGAAAATACATAGGAGATGGTTAAAACCTCTTCATAGTTAAACAATTGTCCTGAATAAAATTTTGTAGGAACATTTAATAAACAAGCAACACCATATAGTACAATACCTAACATTTTGTCAGTCAACATTTCAGTACCACACTGATATTGCTACAAATGTTCATACATCCTTGCAGAATCATATTGTAATATTTAACTAGTGGAATAGTTACCTTAGTAAAATATCCTTCTGGGTTTATTTTTCAAGACACTGTTCCAATCACAAGATAATGTGCAATTATAATCACATTTCCCCCCCTTTATTCTTCCATTGGATGTGGATCATTGGCAAGACCAGAATTTGTTGCCCAACTCTAAATGCTCCCGAAACGGAGTGGCTTGCTAGGCCATTTCAGAGGGCGGTTAAGCATCGACAACATTCCTGTGGGTCTGAAGTTGTATTTGGTCAAACCAGCCTAGGATCACAGATTTCCTTCCGTAAAAAGGCATCAGTGAACCTAATAGGTTTTTAGAATCATAGAATTTCTATGGTGGCTATTCAGCCAATCGAGTCTTCATCAACCCTCCAAACAGCATCCCAACCAGACTGACACATCACCCCGCCTTCCCCCCCGACCCACCTAATCCCTATAATCCCAACACAGGTTTTTTTTGGTTTTTAACCACGGTTAACGCACCTAACCTGCACATCATTTGACACTATGGGGCAATTTTTAGCATGGCAAATCCATCTTTGGACACGAGAGGAAACTCGAGCACTTAGAAGAAACTCATGCAGTCATGAGAAAAATGTGTAAACTCCACACAGATAGTTGCCCAAAGGTGGAATCAAAGCCAGGTCCCTGACATCGAGATACGAAGCAAGGTAGAACGCTGGGGCAATGAACAATGCATGCATGAATTTCAGAGCCTGGCACCCAAGAAGCTGAACTCTTGGCCACCAGTCGTGGAGCAAGTACAAAAAAGACCTGAAGTGACTGTCTGCCTTGGTTTGTTGACTTCAATATTGGAGGAGATTGCAGAAATAAGAATGGCTGCGATTACTTGGAGGGTTGTAAAACAGAAGGTGGGAATTTTAATATTGATTCATTAAGTCATAAGACAATGGGGGCAATGGGTGAGTGGGACATAATGTAGTTAATACAGTATTCACAAAGTTAAACATCCCAAACAGTTTCACAAGAGCTTTCAGACAAAATGTGACACAGTTAAATAAAGAAATATTACAACAGTATTCAGAAGCTATTCCAAGAGTAGACTTTAGGGAACACAGCGATGATACAGAGCTACATGGAAGTGAGTTAGGATATGGAAGTGGAATTGGAATTGGAATTGTGGCAAAGTTTCAGTTTACAGTGAGTGCAACTTGGGAGGTAAGCCAGGATGGCAACAGACTAGTCAAGTCTACTGCTAACGAATGCACAAGTAAGCGTTTCAGCAACAGCGGTGGAGATAGGCAATGTAACAGAGATAGACATAAACCACAAAAAGTAAATCAAGGCTGGTATCAAAGACCACTCCTACACACAATACTTCAACACCTGCAATAGTTTCAGGGAGTAGAATAAAAAATGCTGTAAAGAACAGTGAACATGTATTTTAGGTAAAGAGGGGTGGAGGAGTTCTGTTAGCACAATGTAATGAGATGGGTTAAGTTGAAAGATAGCTTGATCTTGTGAGAAACAGAATCTCAAGACCGTAGCATCTTAAATTTCACTGAAATAGTGGTTAAGCCGGTGGCCCAGATATCCCAACGGCCAGAGCGTCATCAAAGCAGTGTCGACTGGACTTGCGCACTTTGACTATGCAGCACAATGACACAGCTGACTCTATGGGAATTACTCAGGAAAATTAATTTTCCAATGAGTAATTCCCGTGTCTCATGATCTCTGAAAGAATCCATTAAAGGTCAGAATTTGGACGTTTCCAAGTCACTTCAGCTTAATAGTCACCTAGCGAATATACTTGACTAAGGTAACAATTATATGGGCACACTGGCTCATCACCGACCATGACTACCCACTCAAACAAATACATTTTCCACAATCCTGCCCAGTCCCCCAACAAGACTGTTCCCTCCACATATCTGCACCGTCCCCAGCCCCTATCTCCCAGGAGATAATGCCACTGACCGGAATCACAAAACACAACTTGCTGACTGCAGCAAAACGGGCATGGTTTCTGTGAAGATTTTCTTTGTTGGGTCAAAAGTTAACAGTGGAGGCACAGTGACCAGAAAATATTTGTATTTTAAACAATATTAAAGTTTTGAATGTTAAGAATTCTTTCCTCTGATTTGTTATCTGATTAATGCAGTGCCTGCAATTTGTACACTTGTGATAATAGCAAGAACTGCAGATGCTGGAGTCAGAGTCAATACAGTGTGGGCCTGGAGGAACACAGCACGTCAGGCAGCATTAGAGGGGTAGAAGAGTCGACAATTCAGGCCTAGACCCTTCATCAGGACTGAAGAAGGGTCTAAGCCCGAAACATCAACTCTCCTACCCCTCTGGTGCTATCTGACCTGCTGTGTTACTCCAGCTCCACATTTATGATATTTGGAGGAAAACAGAAGTCTAATTTTTGTGAACAGACCCCAAAACGATGTGTTTTTATTCCATACTGGATCTCTTAAAATCTGTCCTACTCACAAGACAGCCATCAAAAATGAGAGAAAATATATGACATCAGCCACTAGATTTAGCTCATGATGCACCAATGCATTCCCTAGATATCAGTTATAACATACAAGCTGTTCTGGCATGTTTACTCTTGTTAAAAACCAGAGTTGTAATCAAAGATCTAGCTTCATAGTGCAAATAGAACAAAGACTAATTTAAAAATATAGAAGGAGAGTTAGTTTATTATCAAATTCATTTTCTGGCAAGCTAGTGGAAATTCTGATAGCTCAAGGAACAGTGATCAGTAATCACAACTGACTTCTGAATTGACAACCAGAGGAAAAAAAACTAAATTTCCATCTAACAAATACCATATAATTCCCAATTAAATCTTTGCAATGTGGAGAAAAACAAATGATTGCAACACAGAATTAGCACGCTGATCGAATACCTGCACCAGCTCCTAACCTTCTACCTCGCCAACACATTGTAACTTTCAAACTCTCCACAAAGCTTGCACTTCCAGCTATCACTTCATCTTTCCCCTTCAGTCAGCGCAAGACATCTGATTCAGTTACTAGACCCCTCACCTAACCCCCGGAAGCTGAAAGCCCGATACAACAGCAACTTGCATCCTAATGTGGGCCTATGTTGGCAAGTTACGGAATTTCATATCAACACCATGCCTAGAAAATCTACTAATAGAATGGAGTAAAGAAATGCTTCTTGATGTTACTGCTAAACAGCCTGTTTTTCAGAATATGCCCCTTTGTTATGAAATTCCTCCACTAGAGAAAACATTTTATCCATCTTACCAAATCAAACCTCTAGCACTTTGAACACCTCTATTAGATCACCCCTTTTAATCATACCAATAAAAACCAGGTTTACACACAGTCATAAAACACAGGTCCCATGTACTGAAAACAACAAATGCTGGAGATCACAACGGGTCAGATAGCATCCATGGAGAGAGAGAAATGCTAGCTTGCTGTCTGGCCACTAATCTCCAGCATTTATTGTTTTCAGAACAGATCCCAGCATCTGCAGTAATTTGTTCCTACAGGTCTCATGTATCCATGCCAATCCTGTCCTCATAATTTAACCTTAACTTAATCTTTAATCCAGATATTTCTGCAAACATGAGACATACAAGACATTAGTGAAGAGAAACAAAGAACCATATGCAGTTCTGGCCTCCTTACTTAGGGAAGGATAGTCAAAGGTTTACTAGACAAAACCCTGGGATGAGGTAATTGACTTATGAGAGAAGAGTAGAAGGGATACCATGAATGAAATATAGTGTTGAAAATTCTTTGGGACTTTAAAGGGTGCTTACTGAGAAAAATGTTTCTCCACCTGGGCAGTCTACAAATTGGGGCTACAGTTTCGGTATAAAAGGTTATTATTTAGGATTATTTAGGGCTGGCACTAGGAGAAATTTAAGAGGTTTTGAATTTTTATAATTCTCTACGCTCCCTGGTAATCTAGAGGTTAAGATTTGGCGCTCTCACCGCCATGGCCTGGTTAGGGAATGAAAGTTCTTCTATGTCTACCCCAGGGAACTATGGATGTCCAGTCTTCGAGCATATTAAAAAAGACAGAGGTCCACAAATTCTTCACTACTAAAGAAATAGTGATATTGTAATTGGAGGAATCGCGAGAGTTCAGCAAAGTTCTTGGTGATTGGTTCAGAAGGGTCAAAGAGCAAACGGTCTATTCCAACTCAATTTATTTACATTTTCCTCAAAGCTAACATATAATTCCTGACAGCAGTGCTCCCGACAAGATACGACTAGTACAATTGAAGCATCTGTCCCTTTTGAAATCTAGCCTCTCAAGATACAGACCAACATTCTATTTGAATTTTTCATTACCCTTTGCACCTCTTCCCTAATCATCCTTGAATTTACAAGGTTCAGGGCGCATGAGACTGACATTTTCAACATATTAAGGGGAAGCAGATGGACAGTACAAAAAAACTAATTTCTATTGGTCAGACAATCTAAGACTGGAAGGCGTAGCCTGAAAATTAGAGTGTGATCTTTCAGGTTGAAGTCATAAAACACCTCTACACTGGAGGAGAGCAATTATCCAGAAAACAAGTTCAAATGACACTACAGTAGTTTAAGAATTTTAATTCTGAAAAACAAGTACAAGTGATCTCAATAAAAGTAACTATGAAGCTGTCAGATTGTTGTAAAAACCCAAGGAAACAAATCTCGCCACTCTTACCTAGTCTGGCCTGTGTGGGACTCCAATCTTACGCCAACGTGGTTGAGTCTGTTAACTATCCTCCGTTTTATTAAACTTGATACACAGCAGTTGAAGGCAGAGGTTCGAGACAACCTTCTCAATCGCACCATTTTA